TTTAGCAAACACTGAGGAATCAAATAAATAAATAAAAGAGAGTCTCCATAGCGTAACATGGTAAACAGCAAAGATAACAAGCTTTTCAAAATGAAAACAAAAAGAAAAGTAAAACTAAACTTGCTGTTGGTGACAGTGCTTGCATGTTTTTTTCCCCACAAGAATACCAACATGTTAACCTTTGGTTTAAGGAGCGGTCTTTTACTTTACTTTAGCATGAAAACCATCCATGGTTTCCACAATATTCGTGTCATTTTTGCTGTGCGCACCTTCGTGTAAACCAGGCTCTACACTCGAAGCGCTGCGCAGTTCAAACGAGTAGCGCGGTTTTGTATTGCTTTCAGTTTCGTTTGATGTTTCTCATATGCAACAGAAATGGCAGCGCTTATGAGGAGAACAACGTGGTGGTCGCGCCAGTGCGACCGCACACAAAATTTAGTCGCACAGGTAGAAAAAATGGTCGCAGTCTGGAGCCCTGACAACCATGAAAGCTTGTGGAGGCTTGTTACCAAAGTATTCACATAGTATCAAATGGATGGGAATATGCATATGGAAATCATGTAGACATGGTTATGCACAGTAAAACTATACTAGATATACTAAGCTCCATGGTATATCTGGTTATTCATCAAGGAGATGGGGTGGAGAATAAAGCGTGGGCATATACGCACAGGTGCATGCGTCAAATGAGTTTTATAAATAATAATGACGTAAATCTGCCTTTTGTTGGTATACACATAGCTAGCATAAAATGCAAAAATAAAACGCAAAGTTTTATACATGATGCTCCTTTCCCTTACCATTCTTTCAAAAGGGTCGTCTGTGTGGTTGGCAATATCCAGGAGTTCAGAATATTCCAGCTCTTCACTGACACGCTGTAATAAACTAAGCGGTTCATTGAGAGCCACTGGCATGGAGACCCGTGACAAATCCTTCCCAATGTTGTTGTACAGGATGGTGAGGATTCCGATATGGCTGTTATCAGTGCTGTGTGCAGGAAGCACTGAGCGTCGCCCATTGACCTGAGCATTAGAAGCTAAATCATTTGTGCTGGAAACACCGGCTCTGTACTTCATATTTGCAGCTTCTGAAAAATATGAATACGAAATACCATACCAATAAATGGGTGAATGTGCACACAATTCTCTCTCTCGCTCTCTCTCTCTCTATAGAAAGTATATATTTGGGATGCACCGAAATGAAAATTCTGGATGCACTTGGCTATTGCAAACAGGAACAAGTATACTACACACAAATTTACTGTTGCCACATTTTTTGAGCGGACTTTATTTTTCCGGTGAGCATGAGCAGTACATGAGCGGACTATTGATCGGAGCATCACACCGCGCAGTGACGACGGTTAGAGGGAGAGTGAAAATGCCATTTTCGGCCAAATAAAAATTTTGGTGCATCCCATACATACATACATGCATGCATACACTACCGTTCAAAAGTTTGGGATCAGAAAAAAAACTAATAGTGACATACTACAATTTAACAGTGTTTTATTTTAATATATAAAGCTGAATTTTCAGCATCATTACTCCAGTCTTCAGTGTAACATGATCCTTCAGAAATCATTCTAATATGTTAATTTATTATCAATGTTAGAAACAGTTTTTGCTGCTATTAAAATAGAACACTGATAAATTGTAATGCGTCACAATATTACGTTTTTTTCTGTATTTTTGATCAAATGAGCCGTAATGAGCATAGGAGACTTCTTTAAAAAGTTATATATATATATATATAGTGCTGTCAATCGATAAAAAAAATAAAATAAAAAAAGAATTTTTTTTCTGAAATTAATTACGATTAATCCCACCTAAGATTAAAGATTTTATAAATACTTTAATTTGAATGTGAAATTATTGCAATGTTAAAGTACAAACAAACACAGTACATTATTAATATTTGTATAATGCCATCTTGTTTAATGACTGAAGGTCAGTATGTATCACTGATACTAATACTACTGATGTCTCTATGAAATAGTTTCCCCCCCCTAAAGGTCAGTATGTATCACTGATACTAATACTACTGATGTCTCTATGAATAGTTTCCCCCCCCCTAATATTTAACCATTGACTAGCCATTCAACATTACAGTATAATTGAGAGCTATCAATTTGAACATTTATTAGACTACTTAAAATAACTTCTAATTTATGTGAACTTCAAACAATCTTCACATAAACCCATTATAATAAATGTAATTTAGCTACATGTGCCCTTCAGCAAGTAGGAAATATACAGAAATTGAATAAAGTTATCAAACACTAAATTTTAAATGAATTATAGATGAATCCTTAAATGACTGATTTCCTCTTTTTTTTTTCTTTTGTTGTTTCATTAACAGACATCACAGCAGCTGGGTTATTAGGTTTTTTGCCTGCTATTACTTTAAGAGCTGCTGCTGCTGAACATGACGTGGATCTGACATGCATCTCTTTACCTATTCTGACCCACCTCAGGTCTTAAAGTCTCTACTAATGAGCGGAGTTGAATCAGGTTTGTTAGATGAGGGAGACAGTTCTGGACTGCTCCAGGACAGTTCTGAAAACCACTGGATTTCAGAGACGTCCTTAAATGTGACTCATACATCAGATACTTACATGCACAGTTTTAAGGCAGATTTAATTGCCTTTTTGGTAACTTTATGACTTTGACGACATAACTACGACATTGCATGCTCGTCGTTTATTTCGCAATTTGATATTAAATGATAAAGGCTACAGCGCGCACCGCACCTGTGCGTGCAATTGAATGAGCATGCGCTATGAGTGCAGTTGCTTTTCCGCGCTTGTTTGACTGGTGTGGAGGTGAAGTTGGAACGCGTGTCTGAAAAGTCTCCCGTTTTAAGTGGTCGTAAAGATGTTCTGCGTATAAACGAATGCAATTCTTGTCAAGAAAAAAAAAAAAAAAAAA